GTGTGGGATGTGGCAGGGGGCTCCGAACAGGGGGTTGGGGTGCAGGAGGGGTGCAGGGTGTGATGGGGGCTCAGGGCAGGGAATTGGGGTGTGGGGTACAGGAGGGGTGAGGGGTGCAGCAGGGAATTGGGGTGCAGCGTGTGGCAGGGGACTCAGGGCAGGGAGTTGGGGTGTGGGAGGATGCGGGATGTGGCAGGGGGCTCCAGACAGGGGGTTGGGGTGCGGGCTCTGGCCCGGTGCCGCTTACCTAGAGCGGCTCTGGGGTGGCAGCACTGCACACCGTGGCCAGGGCAGGCTCCCTGCCTGCCTGCCTGCCCTGGCCCCGCTCCGCTCTGCTCCACTCCAGGAAGCAGCCGAAGCCCTGCGGGAGGGGGAAGGAATGGCACCATGTGCTGCTCTTGCTCCTCCAGGTACCTCCCCCAAAGCTCCCATTGGCCGCGGTTCCCCGTTCCCGGCCAATGGGAGCTGCGGGGGGCAGTGCCTGGAAGTGAGAGCACAGAGCCCTCTACTTCACACACACACCCCGCCCGGGGCTGCATGGACATAGTTCCAGCCGCTTCAGGGAGCGTTGTGGGGCTCATGGCGCCACGGGGTAGACAGAGGGGTGGGGGGGCGCGCGGGCCGCACGAAAGAACCCTGCGGCCGCATATTTGAGACCCCTGCCTTAGACTGTGGTGTAACTTGCAATTTTCTAATGGCAAGTCAGCACTACATCGGTGCAGTTGCACCACTGTAGCATGTCTGGTGAAGTCGCGTTATGTCGGCAGGAGAGTGTCTCCCGCTGACATAGCGCCAGTGTGGACAGCACTTAGGTCACTGTAACTTGTGTTGCTTTGCCGGGGGGTGTCTTTTTCACACCTCTGACCGACATATGGTACATTCACTTAAGCAGCAGTGTAGACCAGCCCTAAGTTTCTGCATAAATTTGTTGTAACTAACAAAGAATATTGATGTTTGAATTGTAATTGAGCTCATGTTGATTCTAATGTGACCCATAGCTATGCTTGCACACTAACTCTATTAGATCTGGAATTGTAAGATACAGATTCTAGTTTACATCTCATCATTTCTTTCTGCTTTAATTTTTCCAGTATTTTCTGATTTTCTTTTTATAAAACATTCCAGTATTAGAACTTTTAAAAATCTTCACTGTTGACCTAATAGGGACCAATTCTACTGCCATTAATTGAATAATAAAACTGACTTCATTTATTGTAGCATATAGCATATAGGCTACAGCTCACAAATTTTCTGCTTAGCATTTAGTCTGATGAATTAGAGGGAAAGTCATGGAAACTGGATTAGGAAGTGTGGAAGGATTGAGCAGCAGTTTTTCCCTCTATGAGTATCCTGTGCAATTGGGGATTCATGTAATGGGAATGGAGCTAGAGATGAGCTATGAAACACAGTATGTTGTTGTTGCCACATCCCTAACCTGTCAGGTTTTCAGTGTAAATCCATGTAGGAGTTGATGCTGCTTCCGAATGCCTGTCGCCAGCTCTCTACACCATGGCTGCAGTTATTGGGGCACAGGTACTAGGTGCAGGGCTGATCAAAAACTTCTATCAACTTTTTTTTAAAGGAAAACTGGATTTTCAGCTAAATGCACACTTTCTGCAAAAGTGTCTGCTTTTCTAAGGCCTTGGCTACACTTACCCGCTAGTTCGGCGGCTGGCAATCGAACTTTCTGGTTCGACGTATTTCGTCTAGTTTGGGCGCGCCAAGACGGACC